TATATATAGTTTTTAAACTAAGCCTTTTAAAAATAATCTTTGGGGACCAAGTAATGCAACTTAAACTGGTCCTTTACCATTAAGTGTTAGAGACGTTGTCATAAATTTTTTGCACATGATGCATCTTAGAGGAAAAGATAGTCCCCTCCCCTTTTTTGTAAATTGAAATGACCCACTTTGATCTTTCCTTTGGTCAGATCAAACCGGGCGCTGATCAACGTCTGGATCCCATCCGTGTTTCTCCGGGGCAAAGCAGCGAACGCATTCCATGTGTATCAGGTAAGCGCCTGGCTGCCAGGTAGGCAGTGCTTGGGGAGAGCTGACTCGTTTGTTGCTCTGGTCTCGGCCTCCTGGCAGTAGTGTGCTGTGCTGTTCTTTGCTGTGCTGTCCTCAGAGGCCACAGCCGCAGACATCGCACTCAGTGGCCAGCTCCTGAGGAACTGGTCCTCCGTCCAGGAGGGGGCCAGGTGGCTTCTCACACAGTTAGCCTCTCAGTATGGCCGTGGGCCCTCGGCTCTGACAGTGTGAGTGAAGGGGCGTCTGTGGCTTCTGTGGGAACTGAGGAGGCCAGGCGTGGCTCTGGCCTCAGGAGCACCTGTCCTGTGTCCGGAAATCTGCCCCCACCCCCGGGTCCTCTAATGAGGCCCTTTTCAGACTGCTCTCTGAGGGATGATGAGATGGCTCCCAGCAGCACCGACCCTGGCCTCAGGGTGGTCTCAGCCACGTCCCCAGCATTTCTCGTGGGTCTGTCTTGTATCTCAAACCATCCCTTCACCTTGGGTTTGGGTGATTAGCTTCTGTGATTGGCCAGGTTTGGATCATGTGACCACTGCTGGCACTGGGGCTAGAGTAGATAATGTGTCTGAGAGGGGGAGACATGGCTCCCACATGTAAACCTGGGTACTCTTTCCAAAGAAGGGGCAACAGGTGATAGACAAAAACTATAGTCTCCTCCTCTCTCTCCTTGGGGTAGAGCCGGCCACCCACTGGCTCAGAGTTGAGTGTCTGGGACCCTAGAACTTTTGTCTGTTTTGGAGGTAATTTTGCCTCAACAACTGGGACCCCAGTTTTCCACCTTTTCTCTGATTTTCTGATGCCTCTTCCAGCTCTGCCTCCTTATCCTCTCTGTCTCTCTCTGTCTCGCTGGCTACCAATGTCCAGCCGTCAGTGTTCACCTATCCTGGGACTGTTTTGTTCTCAGCTCCTACTTGTAGCTGCTTCCGGTTCTGTGGCTTCTGGCATCACAACAATGTTTACTGAGTTTTGTTTTTATTCCCCTGAGCTCTGTGAAAAGCCTTGAATTTTGTTGCCATTTTTCTTGGTGGGGGATTGACCCATTGAAGAAGTCATCTCAGATATTAGGATATTTCCTCCAAAGTCTGAGACGGTGAAAAAAAATGACATTGAACTTGAAAATAAAACTCTGGCTTTAATTTTGTGGCCTTCAGTAAACCTAAGCTTTCCTCTCTGTGAAATGCAAATAGTAACACTCCTTGGAACGCTCTTACCCGCATTAGGATTACATGGCGCAGTGGACATGTAGTTTCTCTCTGGTCTTCAGACATGATTGTGTTTGGGCTCCGGGGCAGGTCTGGTGGTGGACATGCGGCACAGAGGCGGGAGCATGAGCAGGGCACACAGGTCTCACCTAAAACCTCAGGGACCGATGATTTCTCAAGGACACTCGCACCCAAGAGTCATTTGCTCCCCATTTAGCTGGGCAGCACTAGCACTCAAAGTGTCAGAGAAGCTGGGTGTCCACGTTGCTCTCAGTTCTGACTTAATAAGGGGATTAGATAGGACAGATTTCTGAATATCTTCTCTTTCTCTTTGTATCTCAAACCCCAATAAACACTCCCTTCAAGTTCTGCTTGCAAGTGGTGGTCATCAGAAAGCCGGGTATGAAGATGAAGAGTGAAGCAAAAGCTTTTATTCTGAGCGAAATGAAAACATGACATCCCCGGAGAGTTGTCCTTGACCTTTCATTCTTTCCCCCAGCTCACCCCAAGAAGCAACAGGGCAGGTTTCAGCTTCTGAAAGTCAGTTATGAAATGAGAGGAACCCAGCAGATATGCCGTTGCCTGGGAGATTGTTACCACAGCGGTCACAGTGGCAGTCCAGCCTCCCTCTCCCTGTGCACTGTTGTGAGAGCTTCCCAGGGTCCAGCCAGTGCAGGGGAGGGGGATGCGGCCTAGAGTTCATCCAGCCGCCACCTGGCAACTCCCAGCACCTGGGCAGCTGCAGCCCTGACCGTGGGCTCAGAAACCTCTCTTGCTGTTGGACCGGGGGAAGCAGCACCTCTTGAATGCAATTGTTTTCTCCTTTTAGCTGATGATGCTTCTCCTTGGTACCTCAAGAGCAAAAGCTGAGCCAAATGTGACTCCGGACCTCCTCCTACAGCGATAATAGTAACATGTCTAAGAAGCAGCAGCTGCTGCCTCTCACTGGTCGGTGTGAGTTACATACAATAAATAGCTCACTCAGTCCTCACACAACCCTCATCCCCATTTTATGGATGGGAAAACAAAGGCACAGAGAAGCATCTCATCCTATAACATGTTTTCAGTCCAAATAGCATTTTCTGACAAGATATCAGTTTGCAGATTCTGTGAATGAGGGCAGTTGGAGTCTAGCTCTTTAAGAATCCAAGAAAGAGATGGGGCAGTTGCTTCATTCTGAAGGGCCAGGCCCAACCTGGCCAGGATCCTGCATCCCTGAGACGGTGGGCCAGGGGCACACCTGGGGCCAAGCCAGGAGCTTTCTGTAGGACGGCCCCGGGTCCCCTGCAGACACATTGCCACCGAAGCTCTGCCAATCCCTGCGCCGCCCTGGAAGGACTCAGGGACGTGCCCCGAGAGCCTCTTGTTTGAGCGATGGCAGGAGACTGCCCAGGATCTGCCTGGGCACTTGGGAAATGCACTGGTAAGTACCGGAGGAATATGATCTGTAGGAGCAGCTCTGAGTCAGACTTGGCAAGAAGTGCTGTCCCTTTGCAGGACCGCAGGCCAGGTATTTACAGAGGTCTGTGCCTCTGAATACAGGCCCCGTGCTCCTCGCTGTGATCCGGGGTGGGCCGAGGTATGTTCTGTCCCTAAAAGTAGTAAATGGCAGCACTTGACCAATTTTCAGAACAAGTAAAACTGACACCCAGAACTTTCTAATTCAAGTTTTCATCCACAAACATTTCCTACACTTCTAGCCCCTGCTAGTGCTTGACTGCTGGCAGCCACTAGCCAGAGAGAAAATGATTAAGCAGCAACAAATAAAGTGTCAGGAACAAGACTCAGTCTATTAACTGGTCTTGCTTATTTCGTTCTCGCTTCCTCTGTGCAAACACAGATGTGCTTCTAGGTTTGATTCTCCATCACTTCCATCTGATATAGTTACATCTGTATTAATCAACTAATTCCTGGTTTCTACCTTTGTAATTGATGTTATTCCCCGACTGCCCTGACTTCAAACAGGTCTGAGGTCCACTGTGTTCGTGTCCTACTGCAGTGTTTACAAAGGCCGCTAGACCTTAAAGCAACCTGCCTGTTTTTTTCTTTAAGCAAACATCACAGCCACTAAGTTGGCCTGAGCCCTTGGGTCTTTCCCTTTGAGAAGAGCC